ATGGAGAAACAGAAGAGGTGGAAAAGGACAGCTTGTATAAATAGAGATGAAATTCTTGAACATACATTCCAGAATATTCAAGTTTGGCACAATTGAAAGGATTACTTATGTCTTTACAAAGTAAAAGCTGTGAAGATATCAGACACAGGAGATTTTTCAACATATGAAGCAAACCTTCAGAATAGATGGGAGATAAGTATCCTTACCATGGCAGGAAGGACTTCAAGCTTCTTGCTATTAGCTAAGCAAGGAAATAGACGCAATAAGTGTCAAGATCCCTCTGTAATTCCTACACAGGTAGTTTTATGCAAGAGCAATGGGAAGGACGTAAGAAAATCTCTCCCATCTCAGACCTTTAGCCAGTATTCTTGTCTGGCAAGAAGCCAGGCTGACACTGCCCTGCTGATACTTGGATCTTTGTAAAAACTCTGGTAACATCTATGAGGTAAAGCACAAACGAGACCATGAAGTCTAAAATCCAGAAGGAAGTTATTGCTCCTAACCCTCAGCACCGTATCTTTGCTGGTGAAAAGCATGAAAATCGTTCTTCAAACCCCAGGCTCTGCAAGGAGCCCATTCCCATTCTGTACTTGCTGTTATGTCTGTGTGCAAACACATGGGAGCTGTGACAAAATGCTGTGTAAAAGCTCACCTTCCTCCTTGTTTCTACAATTTCAATAAAGGAAGCATCCTTGCACCACCAATCTGCCTCCCAAAATGCGGTAAGGCATAGCACGAAAGAAACCATGTTTACAATACAATAGGTAAAACAGCCACCTCAGATTCCCAGAGCATCTTGAAAAGCTGCAAATCCTGTTTTACTTGGGCTGAGGACTTAAAAGGAAGGATTTAAATCGCGCTATGTTCATGTAGAAGAAAAAGAAATGACCAAAAGAAATAATGAGAGTTTGAAGGACTTTTCCCTTGAGGGCAAAAGTGGGTGGGGAGCAGCAAACACAGAAACACGCAGCTACCCTGGTCTGAGAACATGAAGTACCCAATTATATTTCAAGCCAGGTGATAACTAAGGGACATAAGAGAGGTTGCCCTTGAGATGCAGGTCAGAAATGCAGTTAGCTCAGGAACTGTGACAGAAACATTGCTATGAAAATCCAACTCAACACAGGGTAATTAAATATTTCCTAATATTTTTTTTAGTGCACTTCCAGTTGACATCTCCTTGCACATACAAGACTGAAGGTCAAAATCAAGAAGAAGAACAAAACATGTCTCTGAACCTTATCTGCATCCTGCGTCTTACTTTACCATGTTAGTACTCGCATGGATTCAAGCTTACATGGGTCTCAAAGTGACTTTGGTTATTCTATTACCCATTTATCTGCCAAGCAAGCACTTGACTCAAAGTGACAGCTCAAAATCTGTGCCCTCTATTACTTTTTCTTGTTGAGAAGCAATTGCTATATCAGCAAGGGAAAAGTCCCTGCAACGTTTGATTAATAATATATACCAATGGTCCAGACATTCAGTCAGAAGACTGAATTGTTAAAGAGATGAAATTTGTTGGTGATTCTAGGTCTAGACTTACCTTCAGTCTGTGTCCTTCCTGCTTTATGGAAGCTAATGGAAGAAAAAGCTAAATACGTTACCTGAAAACTGCTTCAGGTCTGAAGTTTAGATTTTCAGCCATTCTTCCAATAAACAGTAAGCCTGGTTACTGATACAGGCGAATCAACCTTGGTGTTTGATAATGACAAGGCAAAGCGGCCCAGTACTGATTTTTATTTAAGGTGACAGGGCATAACGAAAATACAAAACCAATCATCATCCAAGATGTTCAAAAAACACACTTCATTTGACTACTGGTCTACTTCCACGCTGTCTACAGTGAGTTTACCCCTGGTTTATCCCCTTCACAACTTCTCCCCTTCGTGGATGGTTGTTCACTGCTCCAATGGTGTCTAGCCTTTGCCATTCACTGTGGCTGGGAGGGATCAGCAAGAACACAGAATTTTGTTCTTATCTGACATTTAAGACCTGCTGTAAGATCAGAAAAGACAGGATTGAGTGTGCTGTTGAGGACAAACAAACCTGAACTCGCACACAGTCGGAGATAGGCGACAGGAAGACCTGGACGTGAAGAAGGCCAAGGCTGACAGATGAGAGCTCTGTGCTAGAGTCACCACACGCTTCTAGTAATCACTTCTAACAGCTTGATCCTCTCGTGCCACAGCAAAGGGTATAAAAGATACCACAGGAAAGATGAAACTTCGCTCCAGAGAGCAAGTACTTGTCATTAAAAACAGGATTTGTGGGATGAACGTTTTGTTTCAAAACTATCATGGTCAGGACCCAACAACTAATTTCCACCCAGCAACATTACTGAACTGATCCACTCAAATTCCCAGGAATGTGAAACAGCTTTGTTCTGATGAAAGATAAATGTGTATTTAAGCTTTCTTGTTCCTAAGATTGCTCCTCTCCTCAGAGCTTCACTAAAACTAGCAGGCACTGAGGTAAAAAGTCAGGAGCCACAGGGAAGAAGGAAAACAGCAGGAACAAGAGGAAGGGAAGATCGCGGAAGATGGGATGATAGCAGAGGTGTTAGTGCTCGGGCGGGGAGGGAGATGTTCCCAAACTCCTGTGTGGTCCAGGGAGCTGCCCTCGCTCACAAACCTGAGCACCAGGCACCAGTTACCTCTTTCTACAGCTGCATCTCCAACTATCTCTGCCTACACCAGAACACAGACTAACAACCTCCCCAGCGGTAAGCCCAGCGCAGGGTTCCTGTGCACATACCGACACCCAGGGAAGCCCAGAGAAGGCTGCAGTTAATACGCTGGAATAAGGATGAGTCTCATACGATTAACTCCTTAAAGGCACACAACAGGTAAAGGTTGAATAATAATTCTGGGATTTTCACATTTTCTATGAAGTTACCAGGTTGCTGTCCATAGCGGTCTCATTAAATCAGCACTCGCCTTTAACCATGCAAGCAGTTACACAGGGCTAAATGTGCTGCCTGACATTTTGCATGAACCACGGCCTGCATGAGGAAGCAGCAGTTACTACACGCTAGGAGATAGAGACAACCACAGGCCGCCCTTCCTGATGCCCACAACAGCAGCTCCAGCATGACAGGCTAACACACTGTATTTATTTCCCTCTACCTTCTATTTAAGCATAAAACAGCCATTCTGTAGCAATACACTCCTTATTCTCCAAATATTTAGGCTAACCACTTGTCTTTAAAGCTGTGGGAAAGGCCCCCCTCCACCGCCACCCTTTTGCTGGGGAACGTGACAGCTCCTCACACGCTGGAGCAGGTGCGGGAGGAAAACGCTCTTCTCCCCAGCGAGGCAGGGCCGCGCCCGCGCCGCCAGACAGAAGGCAGAGCTCGTCAGCTCCGCACAAGGCATCTCCCGGGAGCACCGGCCGCATGTTTTATTTCCACACTATCAACTCACTCTCATCACAGATCATCACTCTTCAAAGACAGCCCTTTTAATAGCACTTTAGACTTGAGACTAGCTGACAGCTGAAGAAACATCTGAAATTAAATGCAGCGGCTTACCAATAAAGTACAAAATGTGAGAATGTGAGTGAAAATTAGCGCAGTTATTTCATAACACTGGTTACACTGGAGAGCCAGGAAATGGATCCAAATTTCTAAAAAAAAAAAAAAAAAAATGTCTGAGGATCTATAGTCTCAAAGGAGGAAAAGAATACAGCAAAAGATGGGGAATGAACCTTCTACCAAAACCAGCCAGATGATGATGCCAGACTTCAGGCAGACTCTTTGACACTGGCAAGAAAGGCAAGTCCCCTGAATGCCTGCAGGCACGACCTCTAACTCCTACGACACATGTAGGGTGCTTGGACTTGCTGCTTTTATCAGAAAACGGTGAAAGCAAAATAATAATAAAAATAATAAAAATAAAAGCAAAACTCTTTTCCTTCTCAAACTTACATTTGCTCCTTTATTTTAAACAAAATTAGTAAAGAACAACAGAACCAAGTGAAAGATTTGAAAGTGTTCCACCTCAGGAAGGCTGAAAAAACAGCATATGAACATCTTCAACACTGTAAAATGTCTTTAATGGATAATACATAGCAAGGGAAAGTAAACGTGCAGAATCACAAGGAAGAAGAGCTCCTCACTTGATGCATCATCCCAGCAAGATGGTAAAAACACTCACTGGAACATTTTCTGTGAAGAGAGAGATGGGGGAAACATGTTACAAAAATACCAAAACAAACAAAAAGCCCCACAAAAACAGAAGGTTAAAAAAAATCCACATTTCTTACAGATTCTGTTAAAAACACAACATTTCTTTGTTTTTTTAATTAAAAGATTAGGCTTACAGAAGAAAGTGTTCACACAGCCTGGTTCTTCTTCTCAAAATTAGACATATATATCTAGTCAAAATTTATATGTATTTCAAGATGAAAGAATTTCTGTCAATTTTGCTAAACTGAGTAATTTTTTCTTCACATCTGTGATATATTCAGCATATATAAACATCTGCATCACATTCCATAGGAACACATACACTCTCCCCTCCCCAGCTTTCACACAGTACACATCTTAGAAATCTTTTTCAAGGCAAAACAAAACAATTCTCATCTCAAGAGAGCCCATAAGAAAGTGCCTGTTTCTCATCAGCACCAACATCAGCTACTTCTGCTGTGTGAAGCTCCTTGCTGCCAGTCATTGTACAAAACAGACAGTAGGAAAAAAAAGAAATCTTTATTTAGGGACATAGCAACAACGGTTTTCAAATGGCAGTTAAGATTAAATTCAAATACATGATCATGAATATAAGCAATTTAAATCAGACAAAAAGATAGCTTTAAAAAGTGAAAAGGTAACATTTCACACTTACACATCAACATTATTAACAAACATTTCACTACCCATAAGCACTTATAAAAAATTAGCTCTATATAGGTAAATAAAATGCAAACAAGTATTTAAAGGAAGTCTAAATCCACTCAGGTTTATAAGTGGATAAAAACAATCAATCTTTGGTGATGGGAAACAAACCCAAAGGGCAAATGCAAGCAAAAGATGATCTTCCTGTATTCTGGAATCAGAGCTCTATTAGAAGGTTCTCAGCTTCACTCATTCTCAAATCTGCTGTAAGGATTATCAGAATCCTGCAGAAGACCTGTAAAAGAAAACAGGTTCGTTTCTATTTTCTTTTTCCAGCAGCAACACAGGTAGTCTATAAAGCTAGGCAGCCTAGAAACAGCCTAGAACAGAATTTTGTTATCAAGAGACAATTGTTGTCCTGCAAAACCTGCTCAATTAGCCAGAAGCTCAAGTATAGTAAGTTGGAAGCGTTCTTAAGCCCTCATTTCTCAGACTGAAATTGCAAAAGGGTATTTCACCATTTAGCAAGTAGCAACGTATTGCTCTATGAAAGACTGCAAGGAGAAAGCACCTTTGATTTGTGCAGTGCACCCTGCAAGATGTACTTGTCAGAGGGAGAAGTTCGCAAGACCGTCTAAGCACAGCGACAGCTCAGGAAAAGCAGAGGCAGACCAGCCGGTTTATAAAGTCACGTTTTTACCACCATCCTTTAAAACATCAGATGCTGTTATTCTGCCTTAATCCCACTGCAGTTCTGCACAAGGAGTTGTCAGCAAGCAGCGCGGGGGCCCAGCTGGGCCGGCACCGCAGCGTCGTCCTTCCAAAAACGCTTCAAACCCCGCAGCAAATTGGCGCCAGGCAGCAGGGCGCACTCAAAGCAAAGGAGCCCCAGGGGAGCCTGGAGGCAGAGCTTTTGTTGTGCACGAACAGAGAGAAGCTACTATCTTTTCTACCAACTTTTGTGTACTGTAGTGTGGGCTCTTCCCTAGCTCTTTTGTTTAGGCATGGAGAGAGGAGAGCGCCAAAAGCCGCTCCACAAATGTTCAAAGATTAGACCCATTGCTCAAAGCTCGTTAAGAAGCCCCCTTAGATCTTTTCAGAGCACACTTCTTTTCCACAGGCACCCATGCTTAGATGCTGAACTCAACTCTTCACTCACCACAAGCAGCCACTCTTAGTTACAGAGAGCAGTTACTGCACTTCCTTCAAACCAACAGAGTATCTGAAGGTGTCAAGCAAGAAGCATGACTGCTTAGTGTTGATTATTGTACCCTTGACAGACTAACTCATAGGGAAAAGCAGCTTAAAGGAATATGCACTAAAATTCCTATAGTTAGTCAAACTGAAAAGATTTCAAGCAGTTAATTTTTGGTATCACAGAACAGGTGAGGTTGGAAGAGACCTTTGGAGAACACACAAGCACGGTCACCTAGAGCACAGGATCCCATCTAAGCAGCTTAAAGCAGTTAAAATCCAGACCAGCCCGTCTAGCTTATGACCATTCCTTGTTAAGGAATGGGTAAGCCAGGAGCACTTCTAAAGCTTCAGCCAGGTAACAAGAAGTGCCATCTCTTTAGCAGATACAGTACATTGTGTCCAAAGTGCTACTGCCCCTTCCTTAACTGCTCTCTCTCTCTTTAATACAGTCATAAAGTTAAGATCTAGGGATCATTTTGTTAAATACAACTGATTTTTTTTTCTGCAGCAATTCTGTATTTCCTACCTTTAAAATACTTTCAAAAACATCTACACAATATTCACAGGAAATTAGCAACAATACTAGAAATTAAAATACTAAAATATTTTATGAAAACAAACTCTATAACAAATTCCTCGTGGAACTCCAAGAACCAAACTTCAAGGACTTTCCCATAAAGTGGAGGGAGGTGGCTTACGACCTGTGACAAAATTAACTTTGCCATTTAAGTATAGCTTTTATTTTGAAATAAGATTCTTTGAAGGCTCCATTAAAAATGCTTTATGGTAATCGAGAATATTCCTCACTAGGAATATTTATTCCACAGCTAAAAGCACAAACCACAGCTCCATTAAAAATGCTTTATGGTAATCAAGAATATTCCTCACTGCAGCTGAGTTTCACAGCTAAAAAGCACAAACCACGAAAAAGCTACTTTCTTGCTGAAGGAGCACTGACACACACATGCACACAAAGTTCTATGCACCTCCTTTTATTTAGCTCACATATTTCTCTCTATGGAGCCTGGCAAGTGTTTATTATCTGCCTTTCATACAATTCATTTGAAACACCTATCTGACACTTACAGGTCTGAAACTAGCACGGTTCAACTCTAGGCTCAGCTTGCTGACAGCTTAAAGAGTGAAGATTTGATTCAAGTGCTATTTTGCATCCAGTAGTGTCAATCTCAAACCAAAGTTGTGAAACTTCTACGCTGTGTTTATTTATCTGCACATCCCTCACCACACTACCAAGAGCTGTCTCAGACAATTAGCCCTCTTACTCTGTATGAATGTGTCATTTTTACTGTTAGGACAAATGCTATTCTCAGCAATACTTGCTTTAGTTTCACTGAGCTATGAGGTTTAACAATGAACACAGATATAATTTCCACTCATCAGGCATTATGGGTATGTTACAACTTAATTTCAAGGACAGCTCTGATTTATTTTATAATAGCGGATCCAAAAGCTCAGGCCTCAACATCTAAGGGACAGTCCAGTGAGATTATTATTGGTTATGATTGCTTGACTGCAGAAACAAAAGAAATTCTGAGAGGAAATGGTAAACCCTCCTTCCCAATAAGCCACGTAACCACGAAAGTCACAACATCTGATGAGCCTTCTTCTTCAACCTACATCCAGTGTTTAAAGAGCCACACAGGGATGTGCCCCTCGCTGCTCCTCACCGACCTCAGCGAGCGCAACCCCCCGGCTGGCAAGCGACTCCTGCAGGTTCAACGGAGCCAGAGGTTTGGAGGGCTCAGGAGACTTGTCTGTAACAAAGTCCATTCCATCTTAGTGCTGAACTTAGATATCTAAAAATGCAGGACAAGACCTCAGAGCAACTTCTTTTATTTTCATATTAATATCTCAAATATGAGAGAAAGGTTAGGTTAATATCTAACATATACTTACCTATAGTTAAGGAAAAATGGAAAAATTTAAAGGTATAATGGTCAAGAATCTTTCATTAAGCAATATGAAGTAATGAGGTCTCTTAACACCTCTTTCAAATAGAGCCATGCCACACACTATGCTAACAGCACTGGCTCTCAGTCATGGTGACCTGATCCTCAGCATTAGTAGCACAGCTCAAAAGCAGAATTCACAGATGAAATATAAAATACTGCACATGCTTTAAAAATTGAGCTAGAGTGGAATGCTGCAGATCTTCACCTCTAATTACACTTTTCCCCTTACTTTCAACTCCCCCAATTAACAGCTCTATGCTTAACATACAGCAGACTATATTTTAAGCATGCAGCAACACAAGATTTGCCTGCCTTGCACTCAGAACACTAGAGAAGGTCGAGATTAGGAAGCCCCTCTCCTGAGCAGAAGGATTATTTGCTGGGATAAACTCCTAAACATAAAATTAATGTCTTGTGTAAAATAAAGAAAATAAGGGTTGGGTGTCATTAAATTAGCTATCAAAAGCTTTGCAGATTTGAAGCAAGTGGTTTGGAAGACCAAAATCATGAAACACAATAATTTTGTAAAAACGGAGATACACTCCACTTCCACCAGTACCAAGCAAAATGCTGAAGTACATAAAGGCTAAAGCAGCTTCTTGCTAATGCTAAACTGAACGCACAATAGCAGCAAATGCAGCAGCAATTAAGCTGCAGCTCCTTTGTATGCTACAGAAGCTGCAAAATAGTCTGAATTCTACTTGAAAATTTTCTAACAGTCAACATATAATTTGTGTAATCATTCTGCATTCACATCTAAGAGCAAATGAAAAATACTAGCCAATTTTCCAACAAAGAAACAATTCAAAGTGCATAGTCCTGGTTCCTAAAGCTCTCTATTGCTTGCAGTGCTCCCAAGGGATTGTGGCTAAAGTGACACCTGCAATGCATTATAAATGTGTAATTACCATTTAAATGGGATAAGGAAAGCTGGGGGATGAAATGAGAAAAGGCATTCCCTTCGAGCCAACCAAACACTGAAATTTCAGGCATGATCATCTTCATCTACAGAGTCAGGTTAACAAAGTCATTGTCATTCTGCCACTCACACACTCCTACTTAACAGTGAATCCCCTCTGCAATGAATAACTGTGTAAAATAATCCAGTGTTTCCATAATTATTTGCAGCAATTTTTATTAGGTTGTATTTAGCATGCTAACATATGTATTCACTAGACAGCGAAAATGAAGACAGAGAAGTCAAGGCTATAGCAAGACTTACTGAAGTCTTGTTCAGTCTCACTGAATTATTTTAAGTCATTTCTTTACATATTATCAGACTATAAGATATATAGATTTGCAATAATTTAGTGGCTTTATGAATTAATTTATGTATATTGTCTTTTATATTTATTTCATTTTTATTCAGTTTTGTTCATCCTTCCCATATCCGCCAAATATCATATACTATTTAGGTTCTTCTTTAGGGACAAACGATGAATACGAGAATCCAGGCCTCAAATCAGCACATCTCATAGCATAAATTATTCTATAGGGCAAAGCTGTCAAAAAGTCAAAAAACAAATTTGCACACAGAAATTTGCTAATGATGTTTGAGTCCAATTGTTAAAATATGATTTTTGTGTGCGTGATAACTGCCCTGCAAAACACAACTACGTGAAGCACTTGACTCCTTACAAGGCCGACCTTCCATTAACACAATGAACATTGTGAACTTGTCCTTCATTAAGGCACTGACTTAATTAACTGGCACTAGCATGCATCTAGCTTCACCTGCAGATTATAACTATGAATGCAGCAGTTTTAAATGCTACTCTACTCCAGGGCAGTGCTTTGATACCCCACATAGGTGTCCTAGTCTGATCCTCGTGCACAGCCCTGGGTGTAGATGTGAAGTTACACGGGTGTCTGTACGTTACTGTGGAGACAGAGCCATCATCTTAAACATCCAAGTTCTTTCACCAGATCTATCCTAATGCCTCAAAGTTGTCAGAGTTGACTGTAAGGCCTTTACTAAGGAGCAACGAATGAAAGGTGCATGTTGTTCTATGCTTTCCCTTTTAAACCTGGATTATTCTCAACTGCTTGGCTCAAACAAAACTTAAAACCAGGCTGTGTTTGAAGGATAGGGCCCACGATACTACAAAATATTGCAGGATTGAAGTTCATGATCAATATTTAACAAAAAGTACTTTTAATTTCTACAGCTTCCTTCCTCCTCCGACTCAAGGAGGAGGATTTTTCCTCCATCTCAAAGCAGTGTATTACTGCAAATGTTCCCCAGGCTGAGAACTCCCTATAGATTGCACCTGCATCACTCCTACATCAGCAAGAGAGCACACTGCAGACTCATGAAGGCATTCCCAAAATTTTGTAATGAATTTTACATTAGACTGAAAAGTAACTGTTTTGAGCAACTGTTCAGATCCATCATCATCTTCTCTGACTCTAGTCGATTTGTATTAAAAAACCTGCAGCACATTTTTAGCATATCAGTCTCTGAATGCACAGTGCTATTAACCTTCTGAACAAATCAAATAAAAACTGCAGACTGATAGAGTTAATGAGAGCCTACCACATTCAGGCCCTACGATCTTAACAGCATGAGTTCTCTGCTGTATCATGGATCCATCAAAAAAAAATATATATATATATATATATGTATATCCTAAGCTACGCTGCTAAAGCTCTATCCTTGGTTTCAGCCTGATGTAAAGTTTCCTAGCTGCTAGTCAGCCTGTCCTCCTTAAATAAGCATGAGTCAACTAGCCAATTTTAAACAAGTTGTTTTATCAGGTTCAAATCTGACAGGTATTTAAGGTCCTACAAGTTTTCTGGAAAAAAAAAAACAGAGGGCCTATTTAGGGGAATACAAATAAAAAGCCATGCTCTTACTTACAGAGAGACGGAAGGAAGTTATTTATTTTACTAAGTATATGTAACACCCCTGCAAACACCATATAGCACACTGTCTCTTGCCCAGGGGGAGTTAGCACTGAAGGAAATGAAGCAGACACCAGTGATGAGAGCAGGTATTCTGCTGACAGGAGACCCACATCAGTAGGAAACAGGGATTGATTAGTTCTGCTCCTCACAGAGCAACTTGTTTCTGTTGTGAATTTTAATAATAATTAGGACAAGGGAAAGAAGAATTCATTTAGATACTGATTAATGAAAGATTACCACATACCATACTTCCTGCGTATTTCATCATGCTTCATTTTTCTCTCATGTTTCCTACAACAAAGAAAAAATGGCATCAGAAGAACATTCAAATTATTATGAGCTCTAAGCAAAATATGGTAATTACATCAGTCAGACAACTTTTTTTTAATCAGTATGCAATTAAGAATTTCCAAGACATATTTATCAGTTATGCATTCTACCTCTGAGACTCCCTATAATTCCTCATTAATCAGCTGGGTCACTGAGTAGTGTATATTTACAAGCAAAAATAAGTATGTTGGCTTTTCTATATCAAAGTAAAGCACCTAGATATATATGTGTATATACACACATGCACACGGGCATTTGTCTATATATAAGTTGCAATAACAGAAGATTCCCTAACTCTTTCCAAAAGGGAATGTAGTTGCAAAAGTCAGCTGTGAAAACAGTGTGGCTCAATCCTCTGCAAAGGAGGGAGAAAAAAAATGAAAGCAGGTTAAATGGAAATCACTCCATCATTTCTAGGAATATCTCCCTTTATCACAGCAGTTGGAACACATATTTTGCTTTGTTGATGAACAACAAAAAAACTCCCACAAATTAGTTTCACTGGGATGCTCCAGGATTTTTGTTATCAAGGAAGAAAAGTAAAATTTGGCAAAGGGACATTTTCCTAAGAACAAGCTATTTGTTGTCCCTATCAAAAAGATACCCCTATCTCTTATCAAAATTCAACCCAATTAGATGAGTTGTGACTTTCCCAGTTCTAATTTGCACATGTTCAGCAGAAAGCTGTTATGAGCTGACAGCTTAATTCACCAAAGATCCCATCCGCCCTATGCACATTCCACCTCCAAACAATCCCTGCAGCTAATCAGATTCTATGTGTCCTCCAAAGCAATTACCCTTTTCCTAGAGAACGGAAGGGCTGAACTGGCCTTTCCCTGCCTGAAATTCCAGAGAGCTGAAGCCTCAGTAGGTCACTAGTCGATCTGACTCTGCCCTCAACACAGTAAGCACCAAGTGTGGAAGGAGGGGAAGGATGGGGAGGAAACACACACACAAACAACAAAACGGGGCTGCAGGGCCTTAAATCTCAGAGGCACCTTAAGATACCTCCCTACACTATCCAAAACAAGTTTCCTCCCCCCCAACACCAGCTTCTTCCATTAGTTGAATTTCAGAAGGATAAAACCATTAGTATTTATGAAACATTCAAAGCCTGACAAGTAGCCAGCACTATATAACAGCGCCCACAAGGAACTCAGCATACAGTAAATAAAACCCGTCTGACATCAACAGAGAAGACCTAAACACAATTTTGAGTAGGTAGACAATGAATAATAAGCCAAAGGTGCCTTACTGAACAGTTCACATGTTAATGTCAATTAATGTCATTATACATGTTCTGAGTTGGTTCTGTTTCTTAACACTACTGCTATTACTTCATCTTTCTGCATCCTAAATTTTTGGCTCTCAATCAATAAACTACTTGATATACTCTGTTATAGTACTAAGATATATTATACACCATGTATAGAATTAAGCAAACATTCAGAAAAAGTCACTAATCCACTGTTTAAACACTGATTTTTCATGTTAGAGATGACTTGAAGTCACATCAAGCACTGAAATTTATGCAATAAAATACCAAATTCCCTTTAACATTTTTGAGTTAAGAACCAAACTCCGATTTCCTTCCCCTCCTGCCCTTCATTATAAGCCCAAACACTGTTTTATCGGGGGCTTTCAACTTTGCCAGTGAAAGGACAACTCGTCTCTTCCTTCTGGTAACCGCGGAGCACTGCTCACCGTACAGCTTCATCCCAACAACCACCAAGGTATTCCAAGAGCACCCTTCTCTCAGGATCCGCAGGAAAATGAATTTTAAACACAAATACTTGATCTTTAGGCTTAAAATGCAGACATTGACTGTGTGGCTGAAAAGCTGGAAAATGCCAAGGAACGAAACTTGCATTAATTTTTCTTCTGCAGCTTGGACTTCCTTGCTTGGTTTTCGCAGTTTGCTAATGGCAAACAAGTGGAATCCTAAGTGAAGCCCAGGCCAAGCCCTGTTCCGCTTCCACAGCTAACTGTTCTAAACAGCAATATATGAAGTAGTTGTATCCCACAAAAGAAACCAGCTAACAAGGTAAGAGACACAGGAGCAATCCTGTGCCTATTTCTTCCCATCTGAGTATCTATTTACTTGGATAACTATCCAGTTATTTTCAGAAGTTATGTGAAAAACTTTACAGATTGCACTCATTCCCCTCAGTCCTCACACTTGCAGACTGGAAGATACTAAATCCAGTCGAGACTTGAACAACTCCCATTCTCTCAAGGGTATCTTTGCAGGAGGCCCGTAACCTGTGTCAAAGGGCTAAGCACATCAGAAGGGTTTTAAAGACTGTCAGTACATCTCAGCTTTTCATTATTTCACATAACCTCTCGGAAAATACGGTCTAGATGTCTTGACATGACTGGTGGGAAAAAAGGATGGCCAAGTGCCATGAAACATTAAACTGAGAGAAAAAAAAGGGGAGAGGGAGTATAAAACGGGTGAAAAACAGACTAGACACTGATGCCAAGTCAAACATCGTACCCACCACCGCAGCTGCAGTAGAAACTCCAGTAAAATATTTACTTCTAGAAATTCATATTTACGACTGTCTTTAAAAATTCAATAGTTTACTTATAGATCCCTATTTAGAGACAAACTTATTCACAGTCCACGAAACAAAAGGCATTTCCGTTGAGTTTTAAGTTCTCTGGTATTACTAGACCTCATTTGGGACAAGATACATGTTCTCTCAGGGCTAAGTCACTAGCAAAGTGACTTTCCCTCAGAAAAAGGGAAAGACCATGCAGCACAACATGGTGCTTCCCTGTGGTTTGCTGGTCAAAAATGGCTTGTTAAGCCCCTGCTACCAGCAATTTGGCCTCCTAAGGACTCACCAGAAGCAAGCAGTAAAAAGAGCAAGGCCACCAGAAGAGGCCTATTCCCAGCACTGGTAGTCGGATATGACCCTACAAATCCCTCCCAAGCCACGTAACAGGCACATACAGAGAACATAGGAAATGGCCCAGGGCTGCTCTGAGCCTTCTCCTGTCACTGGAGCAGTTCATCTGATCCACAGACACATCTGATCTGAGACAGCCTAGGAAGGCGGGCAGCTGCACTAAGCTCTGGAAGGGATGCTAATTGCCAGGTTAATGCAGGAGTGGACTGCACGTTGCCTGTGCAGTATGTGCTAAGCACCAGGCGTGCACAGCGAGCCCTGCAAGCAGGGAGCATCATGTTTCCTGCACAGACACAGGTTAACTGGGCAAAGAACCTGTGCAAAACGACAACAGGTCACAGTAGAAAGGTTATGGCAGGAATTATCCCCTCTGCGCCTGCTTACGAGCCTTTGCTTTAGGGAAAGCTAAGTCCTGATTTAACTGGATAACGTAGCAAAATATTAAGGATAGATGTTTCTGCACAAGGCACATGGTTTTGATAAACAACAAACATTGAGATTCTCTGCAGGATTCCTTCTCTTTAGATTAAGACCACTTTGCTTCTCTGTGTCACTGTTATTGCTGCTATTCTCTCTGCTGCTTTACCAATGCAGTTTTCAAACGCAACTGAAACGGTCAGACTGACAATGCTGTCTAGATAGGCTGAATAACAAGTACGGCTACATGTCACTTTTGAATTGCATTGAAAGTTATGCCTATTTGCTGTGCTTTCTAAAGGTAATATACTTTGTTAGACAATAACAGTGACAAAAACACACAATGAGGGACTCAGCTTGTCGACACCTTTGGGGGAAGAATAACAAGTGTCCAGACTGATTTCTTCTGAAGTCCCAATTAATCTTATCAATCAATCTTATCAATTCATTCCAGTGTGGCTTATCAGGCAAAGAACATCTCATATTGACTCTGCAAGAGTCCACGCCATCAGTAAAATTATCTTAGAGGACATTTTACTATGTCTTTTTGCAAGGTGACACGTAAGAATTAACAAACCACAATAACCACCACACAGAGGTTTTCCCAGAAGATAATAAAAATCATAATGCAAATATTGGTATGTAAAGTATAGGACTTGCATTCATAAAATCCAAATACCTGCAAAGAGACACTGCAGTAGATCAGGAGAGGGAGAAGATGCACAACAGTTTATCTTTGCGAAGCAGCTCTATGGTATTTTTCAGCAGTTTGGGAAAGACAAAAGAATGGCAGAACATTCTGCAATCTAAACACTGGAACAGGCTGCCCAGAGAGGTTGTGGAGTCTCCTTCTCTGGAGATCTTCAAAACCCGCTTGGACGCAGTCCTGTGCCACGTGCTCTAGGTGACCCTGCGTGTGCAGGGGGGTTGGACTAGATGACCTCTAGAGGTCCCTTCCAACCTTAAGCATTCTGTGATTCTATGATCTGCATCTCATAGCTGTTAGCTGGGCACTGATTTTTGATTTGCCCACAATACAGCATGGTTAGTCTCATGATACTCATGACTGATGGATACCTGGGAACAAACACTTCCATATTTTTTCACTTGGTCAATGGCTTTTCTGAGGATAGAAAATTATCAGTGATTAACAGGAAAGTCTAGTGTTGTGAGAACCGCAAGGAGCAGTTATTTCAGGAGAATCAAACACCACAGATCTACAGATTTGAGCCAAAAGATGATGCAGCAGAAAAACTGTGCAGGCATAAAAGAGTTTTCCATTTCCTCAGCAAAACTTCTAATCAGTATCTCACTATCAGCTTCTCCACCTTTCCCAAACAGGTTTTAAAAAAATGAGAACTGGTTGCCAAATGACTCTGAAAAGCACTTTACATCTCTAAATTCCTTGCCTCACCTCGGCATTAATCCCTTCCACAAGATTGTATCAGTCCTGGAGAGTGAACAGCAGTCTATGGCACCTGACTCCACGTTCGCTTATGGAAATATACCTGGGTTTGTAAACCCATTGAGCTCCGTTTTTTTAAAAAACAGACTAAGTTTCACTATGTCTAATTCCATAGCAACCACCAGCCCCTGAGCTCTCCTCAGAAAGACAGAATATTTCTATACTACCAAGAACTGTGCAGTTTCATATCAAACTGACTGAACTTACCGCTGAAGAGACTGTAGCCTTCGCTCTTCTTTATTTCTTGCCAATCTTTCTTCTTCTTCATCTGCTCTGCTAGAAAAATGAAGGAATGAAAGTACACAAAGAAAAAACAACTCGGTGCTAGACAAGAGTTTAGTCATTTAACTGATTTTCAGAAAAGATTTATAGCCTGCCCTCATACACAGACTTTACGACTATGTAAAAATTACACTGCTGAATAAGTATAATTTGTAGAACTGCCCTCTCACATTTATAATATTCAAATGCTTCATTAGCTGTAGCCACACACCATCCACAGGGCAATTTACAGCCTCTCAAGAATAGGCTGCAGACTTGATACACTCTAAAGTCCTGTCACCCACTCACCATTTTCTCTATAGGTTCTCCTGCCCCTCTCCCTTTGGTGCGAGCCTACCGCACACATACAGGCAATTAAGTCTCCTGGTACCTCTTGGAAGAAGACTGATGGTGCACGTGTCTTTGATGTCAGAACAATTTATCTTTCCAATAACCATCACTACTCAATCTCAAGTGGCCCCCAGGAAAGCAGCCTGCAGGAACTGGCCTGGCAGGTGCTTTCCCTGATACAGGGCAAGAATATTCCTGAGTGTGCATGAGCTACACGATTCTGGGAAGTGCCAGGCCTCTATGCTGTGCACGTGCAGACATGCTCTACTGGATGTATGCATGAAAGGCACATCACAGCATTCCACCAATTTTGGATTCCCAAACTTAGGAAAAGTTTTGTGACCTACCCTTGAGGAAGTTCAGCTTCACTGAACCATTAAACATGCCACATAAGAACTGTAGGTCACTAAAGTAAATGCCAAAGGGTGTTTATGATTTGTTACTTGGTTCTAACAGAGAATCTGCAGCTCTGCAGGATCAGTGAATGACACCTGCCATGCTTCCTCAGGTGCAAAACCAAATGCATCATCTGAAGATGTTCGTTATGACAAAGTTTAACACATCTGCCTGTAGAGAAAAGGGCAGCAACAGTGCCACCCATCTGCAGTCACAGCAAGCAATTTAAGCAAGAGTGACATCCAGTGGTTAATTAGAGCATGTAAAGATCTGAAAACGACTTTAGGAACAGAATTGGAAACGAAATTCAACTTTTCTATCTGATTAATCAGGCCATATGTGTCTTTGAACCTATTTTTATGTACAATCCAATAATTCAGATTCTTTTTAGTATTTCATACACAATTTCCCTAGTCCCTCCTTCTTCATTTCCACCTAACTAATGAACCATCAAATTAATGAGATGCTGACATAGGATTCAGAACATACATTTCTTCGCGGTAACAAAGAAAGTACTAACTCTCCTCTAATTTCTATATACTTTGAAGACATGAAGCTTTTCTTCAAATTCAGAAAGGCTGGAATTATTTTTTTTTTATTTTAACAAACTGAAGAAGTTCAAGAGAAAATATTTTTAGCACAGTTTCAGGAATAGTTCATATTCTCAAGTCTGCAATAAGATTCTTTGGAAGGTCAAACACACAACAAAAATAATGAGCTAAAACAATGTGTTGATAGTCCTAGAATTCCAGTCCCACATGGAGTCAGAGAAACCAGCTATATCCCTGATATAAGGATTTATGTTCCTAATTACTCCCTGTCTTTAAGGAAATAAGATGTGCTTGCTTCTTAAGTATTAAGATTCCTCGGTTTCTAAATTCCTGGAAGGAATACTCATGGTTTGATAGAACAAAGTTACACCCGAGTTTTTGAAAAGTCAGTAAAACAGATCTCATGCTACACTCCTGTAAGTTTTCCTTCTCCCATTTACTTCATGCTTCAAAACATATTTATATATTTTGTGGAAAAGGAGGCCCCAGAACTGAGGAAGTAAAAAGCAAAAGGATGCCTGCTGAGAATCAGTAGATTTAAAGCCAGTAATATCTCAGGCTTCTGTGTAATAAATTCTGAAACCTCTGGAAATAAGCTGAGCCTCACTCTGACAAGATTTTTAAATCCTCTAAGTACCAGAAGATTAAGTGTGGCACCTTTAGAGTCCTCGCAGAAAAATACTCTCAACTAATGCTCTGTTTTTAGCATAAGATGTTACAGAATTGACTCATGACTTAGCTACTAAAACAGAAGTCCAGCACAATTCTTTTTTCCACAGGATTGAGCTAGATTTGTTGGCATGTCAGCCACAGGGGCTGACTCAGGTCTTCAGGAGGGAAGTTAGCAAATCTTGTATAAAATCTGAGTGAGTTTTATAGGGCCCCAGGGCTTATCAGAACAGAGCTACAGTTATCTGTTCTTCCACTGGCACAGATTTGGTAGACCTACCAATAGGTAGGTTTAAACATGCTGTTTAAAACCATTTTCCCACTTCTTGAAGTCACTGCTACAGCACATTCTACTGACTTCTGTACAATTGCATTAAATTCTAAAATATCTCAAGAGCAATGAGCTATAGTTACTTAGAACACTATTTTACTTTATTTCAGATAAAGAAAGGCAGTCCACATTTTGTTCCTGAGAAGTACTGAAGGAGAAAAGGAAGAGAGCTAGCTGCGACTGCACGAAGGAACACTTGATTTCTGCAGAATTATCTTGCTTGAAAGTCAGTCAGTCATCCTTACAATCTTAAGAAAAGGTCTCATCTTCCATTTAAGTTATTTGATTGAAATGGCAAAGACAGCTCCTTACTTAGAAACTGGGTGATTGCTGGAACCTGGAGCAAACGCTGAAGCATGGGACATGTCCCAGTGCTGTGGGACATTGTCCCATATTAAGCGTCTCCCCCGTCGCAGGCCCTTCAGCTTTTGCACAAGCTTGGCTTGAAATAAATTTGTTCTCTTATCAGGAGAAGCAAGTATTTATTTGGCTGTTCAAGTATTTTATGTGCAATTTTAATAAGGAATTGTATATTGCATGAAAATATAAAGCAATATATAGGCATAAAGCAATAGCCTACTTTAAAAACACATATGGGATGCTAGCACTAACAACAGCATCACTTCCAATGTAGCACTGCCTCTAGATAGAGGCATCTTTTCCTGTCGTCTTTTACAAACAACAGAAAGCAACCAACAGGACTCCACCAGCAAAGTAAAACACTCTTAGCATATTGGAAAGGAAAGGTTGTAGGCAGGCAGGCAAGACCAGCAAAGAAGGTTAGTAGAAGGAAACAAACATCTGTATTTACCTCCTGGCACGGCGCCTTCTGCAGTAACAGCAGTAGCAGCAACAGACTGCTACGGACACCAGGATGAGTCCAGCTGCTACAGCTATGGCGATGAGCAAACCCTCAAAGTTCACTGAAAAACATGAGCACATTCAGCTCGTTAGAGCTCAGCATCAGCATCTCGTTATCTTCCATTTAACTTTTCCCTCCCAAGAATATTTCTTTTTCAGTTCTACAAGAAGCAGTTAGAGAGCGCACTGTAACAAGACAGCGGCAGTCAGTGTAACCCACCATCAATCTCCCCAACTGTCTAATTATTCCTTGGCTCTTCCTGGCACCAGACAATTACAGTCGGAAGGGAGAAGAAGAACTGAAGAAGCTCAGAAAACTAACACTAAGTCATCTTCTACATCCAAAGAGTGATCAGAGTATATGACTGCATGCTTGCTTCTAGTAATCTTAACAATATATGCAACTATAAACTGGGATAGGGTTGTATTCAAAAAAGAAAAAAAAAAAACGCACACATGAACAAAACCACACACAAACACATAAACACGATGGTCTGGGAAAGAATGGGTCTCGGGAAGAAAGCAGAGGGATGATATAATCAAAGCAGTGAAAGCAACATGGGAGGAGCTACTTTAAAAGACATAACAGAATACTATGAAATTATTATACTATGCAGGAAATACTTCCCCCCCACACACACCAATCCCAACACATACACAATGTTTCTATTTTAAATTATGATCTAAAGTGTGGGGAGGGGAGAAGGGAGGAAAGGAACTATCTCTTCTCACACCTAAACAAAAAGAAAAACATACGCTCCCATTTCTGTTTAAAACCAAAAGTTGTAGCATCAACATCATTTTTATCATGTCACATTAGCAACTCAACTGTTTATTCACCTAACCCAAGGTGTTTCACTTCATAATTTAGCTATAGACTGAATTACTCTGCATTTCACTAGAACTTTATGACTGCCCCTTCTTCAACTATTTTACTGGTCTGGCCAACAAGGCCATTGTCAATTAAAATTACTGAGGTTTATTGTTATGTGATATGAGACACCATGCAGTCAAGTGGCATGTAACTTTATAAATGATAGGGAAAATTTTATAATGATTAAAATGATTAATGCATGGTTAATTTTGAATATGAAATATTCCATATAAAATTGTATCTGAGAGCCAGTCATCTTTTTGAATTTCAAGGGCTGCAGTATTCACCTTTGTTTTCACAGAGTCAGATTTGCCATTTCTGCCACTTTGCAGGAGGACACGGAGTAAGATCCTTTTAGAAAGGAATAGATGTTCATAGTAACATAATAACTGTTCATATTAACAGCATTAACTATGAAATCGGAAGCCTAACTTCCTTAAAAATGTACCTTCTCAGTGAAATGACATAATTTCTACTTTTTATAACTCTTAGAAATAGATTTTTAGTTCCTAGTTTTCTCTTACAACAGTAAGCACAAAGCAGGGAGAACTTCTCCTAAGAACAGAGAGCTGGTCAAGTTCTCCTGTACTTTCCGATCTAGTCCCCTCCTTTGTGGGGATTACATGAAGCAGCAGCTTTCATAAACTCCCACACAATCCACTTTAACAGCATTTTTTAAACCTGCACTACACTTACACAAGACTATGGCAGAAGCTCACCACTCTTGAGGGCAGCATGTTTTTTTCTAATTTCCAGCTATCAGAGTCACTGACAGCTCTCCCCCACACTTGTTTTTCTTTCAGCATCCTGCTCTTTATGCACAAACACCCAGAAAACCGCACGCCTTTGCTTTGCTGGAGGAAAGCCACGCTCAATCCTTTTCATATGACAGCCTTTCTAAGGTCTTGTTTGTTCTCTGCCCCCATCCAGGCAGAACTGAGAATTGTGCACAGTATTCCAGAAATACCTCTAAAAAAGATTTCACCCCAATGGCTGCATATGCATTGCACTGTATTTTGCAGCAGGAAATGCAAAGCAAAAGGAAACATAGGATCAGTGAAATGAGGCAGCACTCAATCTCCAGAGCCACTATGCACTTTTTAACCTTAACTGCACTGCCTTCAGCACCTACAGGGCATGGCTTTTTCAGGGGCTTAAGCAAAAGCAGTCAAGAATTTTTGGATAGCTCCATTCCTGGTTCACTGCTGTCACCACAGCAGACTGAAAACTGGGGAGCCAGGCAGTTACCAGAAGCATGCACATACACAGCTTAGGAAACATTGACCTTATTAGCTTTGAGTCTCAGAAATACGACTTAAGAAACAGGCAAAACCTGTGCAATCACATACAGCACAGGAAACATTAGGGATTTCCAAAGTGCATCTCAGCTGATCAGAAGAACCCTAACAAACAGCAAGTGTCTTAAAGCCATCGCTTCAGTCTAATTATTTGAGTTGCTTAAGGAACCTTTTTCAGTTTTTCAGTGAGTGTGTTCCATAGGTCCAAAAGCTTCAAGAACATGGTTCAAAATCATAAGCCCTGCTTTACCCTGGAAAATAAATTCTCAGGAATAGGCAAGAGGGAAAAAAAAGTCTTACTTTAGTCCAAGTATACTGACATATTTCTACAGCAAAAGTAAAATTAGTACCTACTCCAGCAAACTCCCCATCGAGCTTTTGAGAGTGAACATAAGGAAGATGATGGCAGAATACTTCTTACGGGGTAGTCGATGCAAGTGTTGTTTGTGTAACACCAAAGGCACTGCATAAGAAGAAAAAGTTACATCTTCAGAAAACAGTTTAAAATTTAGTCCTACAATATAGCCCCTCCAACAGACAGAATCTGTCAGCACTAAATGTCGATCTTGGCATTTTTAGATAACACATGGTTCCTAGATGAGACCTTTCCATAATGAATCTTAAAAAAATATCCTGTTCTGTCAAGCATTCCTGTTACCATCATCCAAAACTTCTTTAGCGGTTGAGTTGAATAGCAAAGGAGTTTTGAATGAGTAACTATTTTATCAGATTGAAAACAAAACTATCAGCAACATAACTCTGAGAAACAGTGACAATTTTACAAAGTTGATTAGCTTGCTCTAAAGGGTTAGAAAACAGCAAATACAAAGGAAACTCTTTGTCCCAGATTCTGCACTCTTAAAACAAGTGCAGAGACAAGAATAACTTACTCATATTTTATAACTGGTAGACTGTATGAATCACAAATATTTCCACAAAGACACTTCAGCACAAACAACTGAGAGTTAAAACAATTTCTGCACAAAACTACTCCCCTAAGACTTTATTTTAATCAAGGATGTTGGACAGAATACACCTTTTTGGTTCAATTATTTAATAATAAAAATCAACTACTCGAAAGTAATTAAGAGTAATACGTGCTAAGCTAAAAAGCCTTGTGAAACTTGACTGGAATTTAACAGTGACTCTGTGTGCACCATGAGGCTGGATTAGAGGGACCTCCTGATACCTCTTCTAATCTGAATGACTCTAGACTGCTGATTTCCACCAGGAAAGGAAAAAAAAAAAAAAAAGTCAGCTGTACTACTCTGACAGAGACTACATCAAGTAATTATTAAAAATGTTCCTGCCTCAAAGGCAGTAGATGACAGAGTAACTGATTGGTGCAAAGGCTAAAGCAAGAGAGAAATCTTCTAATCCACTCATTCCTAATACTAAGAAATAGAGCCACTTTTCAAAACGAAGTTATTAAAAACAAAAGAAAGAAAAAACCTAAACAAATGAGGGCAAAACACTCCTTTAACAGGAATCCTAAAACACAGAACCTTTAGGCGAACTGAAAATCTTTTATTTTGAGGTAAATCACATAACCATTGCATCATATGCTAGCTACCAAGCTCATACTGTGATGGGTCTCACCAGCCTTGTTTTAGTTGTCTCACACACACAAGGATGTGTATGCTCAGCCTATGCTCATTGTAAGGATAAGCTTGCAGAATTAAAAGAAATAAGACAATAGCCATGAACACAAAATGCTACATTACAATGTACACGTGACTTATCTCAAGATCTCCTAAAAATAAAAATAATAAGAAAATATATTCCATATATTTGTTCGTAGAACAAAGAAAATTCCACACCTAAGGGAAAGACGGATTTGTTGTTAAAAATAAGATTTTAGAAAACTCTGGAACACTGAGGCTGCAAACATATACAAAGGTTTTACTGTGCAATCTTATTCAGTAATTATTGCTGCACCCATAAATGCTCTTGCTTGCATAATATAACTTAAAAGATAAATAAATAACCACACACTTATCTATAAAAAACCAAGCATACAGGACTACTTGATAAAAACAAGAGAAAACAGTTACACAGCTACTCTAAAGACCAACCCAATTTTAATTAGCATAGAATTCACATTGCTCAGATTATGTCTATTTGACTAAGATAACAACATATTTTAGGGTTATTTTGTATTTTTTTTAATCTGTTCATTTTTTCTACTGCCTCCTCTATTTACACTGTCTCTGATACAAGACACTAACTTTTCCTACTGAAGCAATTAAGATTTCAGCAATCCTACACTTTTATTTTGCTTACACTAATGCTAATGGCTTGCTGATGGCTTTGTTCTGAAGCCTTTTTTTTAAAAATACAACTCTAAACTCATCTCTTCAAGGTCAGCACTGATGCTATTAGAGAGGTTTCACTGAATTATCCATCATTCTGTCATCAGAACTAGCCTGGACACTGTCAGTGGTTTGACACTGAGAATGATGCGTCTACAGCTCTCTGCCTTCAGCACACAAGCACATCCAAAGGAATTTTCTCCCAAGTGAACATGTAGCCCTCAGGTTAGGAAAATCTGTACTTGTAGATCTGCTAATAAACTAGTCCTAGACCTTATACACCGGCAGCGTCACATAGCTATAGAAACTGTGTCTGAACCACATAGCTATAGAAACTGCCCATACAGTCACACCAGTAATTAATTTAATGAGTGGTATTTCCCACATCACATTTCAGAAGATGAAGAGTTCTTTTTCCAATGCTGTATTTTACGAAAGAGGTCTAACAGTGAGCAACCACCTCACTACAAAGCAATTAGTGTTTTGCCTTTTGTTTTAAAAAGGCCAAGAGAGGTCTAACAGACACAAGCATAAACCGCTACACTTTCTCAACTTTCCCTAGGGAAAAAGCTTTAAGTTAACTTTTGTAATTTAAAGACCCCAGAAGTATTCCTTTGCACTGACATCTGAAGTCAGAAATGGGGACAAGTAGGCACGTCTTCTCTTGCTTTCATTGTGGCAGATTTCCTCAATCTTGCAGAGAATCTGCAAAAGAGTCAGCTTTTGGGCTGTTATTACTCCCCTTGCTTTGGAGCTACAAACACTTTGAGGAACAGATAGAGAAGCAAGCCCAACTGAAGTCCAAGCAAACACTTACCTTAATTGCAATCTCACTGGAAATCAAGACACTTAACTACAGAATCAGTCATCTAACCTGGTCTAGACTCATCTAACTCAAGCCCTTGTGGTCAGATGTATCCAAAGAGAGGCAGACAAGTCTGAGCACCTAATTGAGCATGAACCAGTCTGCCTCACTACCTGCATCCCCAGAGGCAGCTCTAGAGAAAAGCATTTGTAATTTACTTAAATTCATTTTCTAGCTCGTCTGTTCTGGACAGAAGAAATACAAGGCATTTTATCCACAGAATATCTTACTAAATGTAAAAATCAGTAAGTTCTCATCAGTCAAAAAAAGAGATTAAAATCTTACCGAGACATTTTTTAGACATTCTTCACAGGACTTCTGGGAAAAATCTGAACATGCTAGGAAAACAAAACATACACAGATATCATATTTATTTTCACTCAGTAATGTCAAACACAATATCTACATTAGTGTTTTTTCTTCTATTAGGTACATACCTATACGCTTACCTGTATTTATCAGAGTAACGTCAAACAGTTAACACTATTAACATTAGCCTTTTTTCTTCTTTTAGGTATATACCTATAATCTTACCTTTATTTATAAATCAAATTGTTGTTCTTCGCATGTTAAGTAATGAAAATTCAAGATTTTGGGAAGGAGGACAAAACTCAAAAGTAGTTCTCAATTCAATCTCAAAATAAATTGAATAGCATTATTCCATATGGACAAGTATGTACCACAGTTATAATTAAAGACTGAGACTTCTAAGGAAAGCAGCTTCCTAACCATCAATTACAGAAGTACTGTCAGAAATACCAAGTACTTCTTAAAACTTTGGGTTAAGTTACATTTCAAGTAACTGAAGCATCCACAGTAAAAAGGAGCAATCTAACATTCATCAGATCCTTATCCCATGAGGAAGTTTCACAAGCTTTTCAGTTTTAGCTGCCTTCTGACTGAAAAAATATAGCAGACAACCTATAACAGTATGTACCTGAAAAAACAGGTTATAAGTGATATAAATTAGAGTTCTATTATTTCTTTAGGTTTGTAATAAAAGATGATCATAAAGAGTTGCTTAATGTAAAATACTTGAATATACATAATTACAGCACAAACCTCAAAGCTATCCCTCATAGAAAAGCTTCAATAAAATTTACTGCCCCACCAACCACTACTTTACTATACGTTGTTAAACTGAACAGGGGAGAATCAGATCTGCCACTGACCTGCATTAACACTGGCCTAAACCTCTTCATGCCCTGTTGCAAAAAGTGTGACATTACCATGAATAAGTAGAAAAAAAAAGGTCGATATGTGCATTTCCCTGGGTCACTCAGCTTCCAAACAGATCTGAGTATCCCCCAAGTGTGGTGTTCTCTCCGAAAGGAGGACAGTAAAGGATAAAAAAGGAAAAAGTTCTTTATTGAATTTAAAATAACTTTCAAATCCTTTACCAGGAAAAAAAATGCAAGCCATAGTACCACTATGTTGTATACACGTTGTATTTTAAAGGATACTTGTCAAACACGAGCATCCCTTCCTACATGTTGATTCAAAACATCTATTTCAACCATCTACTTAAAATAAACAAAACATATTAGAACAAAATATCATTTCTTCACATGAAGCCTATGCCTTGTGTTTACTGAACAGTGGGAGCATTATTTCAATAAGGAGCACAATATTCACCAAAATGGTTGCATCAGTCTAAGACCTTACACAGAGACCGTTTTCATTGTATAAAGAGTCTGTTCTCACAAGAACAGAAAAAAAGAAAGAGCTCTTACTGTTCGTACTGTTCAGCTGAACATGAATTTTATTAAGTATTTGTAAGCCACTATTTGTATTACCTCAGTTTCTAGAAGACATACTCATGACCTAGGGTATTAATGTACAAATACATAAAGAAGTCTGTTCCTCTCCAAAACTCAGCTAAAATAGCATGAAAACACTATTTTGTTTAAAATCAGCTTTCCTTCACCACCGTTTTGGGGCACAAAGGTAGCCTACACAGTGATTTCTTCAGAAGACAGGGCTCTAAAATATCTTCTCAGGCAGTATATGCTAAAGACTACTATTGAACCTTAAGATCAGTTAAATGCTTTAATTGGTCTTACTGTTCTCCTGAAGAAAAGAAAAATCATGACAACTAAAATAGTGGGGAACATTTCAACACCTACACTAATGTTTATTGCTAGTTTATATTAATTCGTTTTCTGCTCACAGTCTCAAGGTAACACTAGCATACTTGGAGAAAGCGCCCACATCTTCCAGCCTTTGCTTTGCTCCAGTAAATAAGTCCTGCTCTTGTAGGTTTTTCCTCAAGCCCCAGAAGATGTATCTTTGTAGCGGTACTTTGCGGCAGTCCCGCTTTGCTGGACATACAGAATACTTAACAGCAGGCTATGCAGAGTTCTGCAAGCTCACACAGAAGCATTGAAACTTCCCTCCTTCTTTTCACAAGAGCAGCATTTCGGCAATTCAAAGGCATTTCATAATTCTTAGATGCATCTCCTTACTTTTTCCCAACTGTTTAACCCTTAGATAAAAAGAAAGTCAGAATACTAGTCCTGTGGCAAAACCTTCTGTAGTGCTCCACTTAGTCCTTAAGTGTCACCCACATCTTTAACATCATGATCCTTCTCCATATCAACACCAAATTTTGTGTAAGGGGCAGACTCCTAAATTAGACAATAAAAATATTTTATGAGTTCCTTGATAGAAAATCCTTAGGCAACTCCGCTCCTTCTGCCCAACACAACTGCCCGGCTTGGCCTGCACTTCTCAGAAGCGCCAGGAACCGGCAGCCCGCGGCTTCCAGCAGCACCGGCTTCGCGATTTCCACTCCAGTAGCTGAATGGCAGAGGTGCTGCCTTTTTCCTTCCGTCTCAAGTCAGATGGCTCCCAAAGTTGGGAATTTCCTTGCCAAGTGCAGGCTCTTCCATAAAGCAAATGGGGCTCCTCAACCTGAACCCTAGAAAGGTCACAAGGTTCACACAGACGCCCTGACCTAACGAGGGCCACGGCTACCGAGACCCCCTGACCTACCGAGGGCCGCCCTGAGCTGACGAGAACCGC